TTTTGATTTTTCTCAAAGCGTCAACAGATGCTCTCTTTCTTTTGTGTCGTAAATTAGTGTCAGAGCATGTATAAATGTACAAGCCATTTTCCTGAACTCGTGAGGGGCATGCTGAACCCACTGCTTCACTGAAGTTGATTGTTTTATAGAATTATCATCTTTCCTATTGATAATTTTATTCACAAAAGCTTAATTGTTCTCTAACTACCATGCAGTCTTATTTCACTGTCCAGAAAAGAACTCAGTGCTCTACCAAAAAACTTTATTTTATAAATGAGACCTAGAGGGCCAGAGAAGAGAAATGACTTTTTAAGGTCACTCAGCAACAGAGTGACCTTAAAGTCAGAAACAGAGTCAAGGTTAGATATTTTTATTCCCAAATACTTTTTATTATACCACACTGACTTAATCAGATTTATTATGGGTGTCTTAATTCTGGCAAGCCATCTTGTCCTTGTTGCTTCTGAGCAAAAGAAGATAAGAAAAACTAGTGGAAGGAAACTAACACTCACTACTACTGAAAAAGATGAAAAAAGGGCTGAGTGTCTCAGTAAAGCCTTGGAAGAGAGAACATTGCTGTTTACTTGGGATTAAGAGTGTTATTACTCTCTTCCCTAGATGGTTCTTGGCTGAGATGAACAACACTTCCACATTCATTCATTTATTTAACAAACACTGACTGACAACCTTCTGTGTAGTCCTTAGAAATATAAGATAGAAGACACTCCCCCAATTCCCACAAACTCACATTCCAGTGGCAGGTGAAAATAAATCGACATAAATAAATTGATATAAATCGACAGTTATACTACAGGATGGATTTTGGGTTTTTTTTTAATCAGAGTTGATCGTAAGATTTATTTTTAATGCTATCTCTAATTTTATTCCAAAATAACTCTCCTATTCTCACCAAAATACTACTTTATTCAATATATTTTCATTTATACCTTAGTTGATATTTTTCTGTGCTCTATGATCAATAAAGAACCGAATCAGGCAAGGTTTCCATCTCCAAAAACTTGCAATCCAGCAGAGTAGACAAAATAGTCATTTAAACATAATTCAAATCAGATGGTAGATATTCATCTTCAGAACTAGTGATTAGAATAAAGGTGGCTTTAATGTTGATCCTTAAAGAATTTGGTAAGTGAAAAATGGGCCAGTTGCTACAGATATTAGAGATGTTATACTTAGAGGTATGAAGCTTACAGTTGTACAGAGTAATCAGGTATGAGGACAGTGGTGAAAATTTCCACTGGAAGAGATGAACTGGAACTATATGTGAAGAACCATTAACAACCAACAAGGTATTTTAAGTATATTTTATTGATTATGCTATTACAGCTTTCCCAATTTTCCCCCTTTATTCCCCCTCTGCCCTGCTCCCCCAACCCTCTAGCATCCCCCCTTATTTCATGTTCATGGGTTGTTTATATGTTTTTGACTTGTTTCATATACCATTCTTAACATCTCCCTGTCTATTTTATGACTACCAATTATGCTTCTTATTCCCTATACCTTTCCCCCCTATTTTCCCCTTCTTCCTCCCCACTGAAAACCCTCCATGTGATGTCCACTTCTTTGATTCTGTTTCTCTTCTAGTTGTTTGCTTAGTTTTTGTTTTTATTGTTGTTTTCTTTTTTAGATTCAGTTGATAGTTGTAAGTTTTTTGTCATTTTACTGTTCATAGTTTTTATCTTCTTCAATTTCTTAGGCAAATCCCTTTAAACATTTCATACAATAAGGGCTTGGTGGTGATGAACTCCTTTAATTTGACCTTAACTGGGAAGCACTTTATCTGCTTCCATTGTAAATGATAGCTTTGCTGGATAGAATAATCTTGGATGTAGGTCCTTGCCTTTCATGAATTGGAATACTTCTTTCCAGCCCCTTCTTGCCTGCAAGATTTCTTTTGAGAAATCAGCTGATAGCCTTATGGGAACTCCTTTTTAAGTAACTCTCTCCTTTCCACTTGCTGCTTTTAAGATGCTCTCTTTATCTTTAATCTTAGGTAACTTAATGATGATGTGCCTTGGTGTGTACCTCTCTGGGCTTCCTGGACTTCCTGGAAGTCTATTTCCTTCACCAGATTGGGGAAGTTTTCCTTCATTATTTATTCAAATAAGTTTTCAATTTCTTTCTTTGTTCTTCTTCTGGAACCCCTATAACTCAGATATTGGAAATTTTAAAGGTGTCCTGGAGGTTCTTAAGCCTGTCTTCATTTTTTTGAATTCTTATTTCTTCATTCTGTTTCAATTGGATGTTTATTTCTTCCTTTTGTTCCAAATTGTTGATTTTAGTCCTGATTTCCTTCCTGTCACTGTTGGTTTCCTGAGTATTTTGCTTTATTTCACTTTGGGTAGTCTTCATTTGTTCTTTCATTTTTTTGATCAAGCTCAATCAGTTCTGCAAGCACCTTGATTACCAATGTTTTGAATTCCACATCAGAAAGGTTGGCTATCTCCTCATTGCTTAGCTCTTTCTCTGGAGTTTTGCTCTGTTCTTTCATTTGGACCATATTTCTTTGCCTTGGCACAGCTGTTAAGTTGTAAGAGGGCAGGGCCTTAGGTATTCACCAGTGCAGGGCAACCCTCTTTGCTGCAGTTGTGGCACTGTCCATGGGGGAGGGCCAGAGAGGGAACAATGCAGCTCACCTGCTTGGCTTTAGCCCACTTTCCAATGAACTCTCATCTGAGACTGGGAGTTTCTCCCACCGTGGTAACCCCTGCCGTAGTCCACAGTCAGCTCTGAATCTCAGTTTACCATTCAGCCAGCCCCTGCCTTGCCATGGTCTGCTCTGCCGCCTTGCTGGGGGTCCTTTCAGCCAGCCCAGCCCACATGGTCCACAACCTTGCCCCAGGTTCTCTCCATCTTCCCGCCTCCCTCTTATGGGTCTAGTTGACTGATGGGTCTGGTTGACTGTTTCTTTAATTCCTTGGTTATCAGAGTTCCATGCAGTTTGATTTTCTGGCACTTCTGGTTGTTTATTGTTTTTAGATTGGTTGTTATCCTCCTTTTGATTGTGTGAGGAAGGAAAGGGTTTCTACCTACACCTCTATCTTGGCTGGAACTTCCCAACAAGATATTTTGAAATGACTGATGTGTTGAAACAAAGTCATTTAATGAAATAGCATTATTAAAGTGGTTGAAATAGCTTCACCATCAATTGAAGAGTTGGTGTATGTAATGTGTTTACTTTTATAAGAAGCTCAACTGCTGACCAAAGATTATACAGGGTGGAAGAAAAGTCTGTTTACAGTTGTTTGTATGGCAAATAATAATGCAATAAGTAATAAGTAATAGTATAAGAATAAGCTCTGTGTTTCATGTACTTACAACTGTAAATCTACTTTTGCCCCACCCTGTATAGTAACTTCTCACTATGGTCGTGTGTGTGTGTGTGTGGTAGGGAGGAGCTGTCTTCAATATCAATCAGCTGTTATCTCATTGTTGATCTTCCCGGGAGATGAACACATTCCAGGTGTCACTGTGCATTAACCACTGTTGATTAGTCTGTGTGTGATAGCAGTTTTACTTTAGCATTGATTTGGTATTAGATCCGATGCCTCACTCATTTCAGCTACTTCCTCCAGTTCACCTCTCAATCAAGTCTTCACTGCACATACATTTCCAAGTCACAGAGAAAAGGGGAGCCTATTAGTGGGAAATAAGAAAACAACCCTTAGAGCTTCATGACAGTTGTCAGGAAGACATGTAGAGCCATTAACTCTCACCCCACAGACAAATAATCAGCTTAAGGAGACATAATACAGTGTCTCAAATTAGATTAAACTCACTTGAGCAATTAACACATGATTCATAAACACTCATTCCCAAATTCTTATGACAAACTTCTTATCAAAGACAGCATTGCTGTTCTACTCTCTTTTTCAGTAAGACAATATGAATAATATAAACGTTTTAGTAATCATTAGATAGAGGTTTGGGAAAAAGTGATTGATCTTAATGGGAGTGATATTTCACATTTTATTTTAGGTATGTGACTAATACTCTTCCTGCTTCCTTCCCTGGTAGGGACAGCAGGCTCTGCCACTGGAGGGAGAAGTCCCCTCCCCTCAACATGGAAATTGCCCAATTTGCAAGGTGAAAGAAAAACATCTGAAGACTGATACTTGATTACTTAGAGGGGAAGGACATTGATATTGCATAGAGTGGAAGGAGGAATTGAGTGGCAAATGCAATAAGAGGTACAGGAGAATGGCAGAGTTGGATAAAGGGGAACTTTCTTACTTGGGCAGCTCCAAAACTGGAGGGGCTGTGAGGGATCAGCAGAAGCCTACACAGCACTGTACTGAAAGACAGTCAAGGAGGTAGACCAGGGGAATTAAGTTTCCTTCCCATATGTCTCCTTATCTCTATCACACCATACACACTTCTTACACATACACAGACAAGGACACACACATACACAGAACCATGCATATTTTCTTCAAAACAATTGTTGTTCTTTAAAAAAGAACTGTTGAAACCATCTTCAAGTTTATGGGAATTTTCTGTACCCCGAAAGAGTAGAGGAAGAGTGGTCTCCATCGTACAAAATGGGTAGTCCCCTCCTCCCGCTCTGTTATTGGTTCCTTCATGTGGGTTCCAAGTGAGCAAGAGCCAACCTCCAGACGGAGTCCTGCTGAGAAAAGATGGGACCCTCCAACTTTCTCTACCCAGGAGAAAGCAGGCAGAGACCTGGAGGGACAAAAAAGTGGGCTTTAATATGGGTTAAGGGTACATGGTTTCAAAATAAATATGGATAAATTATTTCATGAAAGATTCATAGTTAGAGAGCAATATTTACCAAGCAATTAACGTGTCAGATGCTTTAAAATGTACTATACCCATTTCAAATGAAGAAACTGAGCCTCATAGGAGTTACATAAGTGCTATAGATCAAATGATGCGAATGAAAAACCTGAGATTCTAACTGATGTCCACATAACCAAGTCAGAATATATACCACAGCTTATCTTGTCCTTGTTTATTTCCAGGGACTAACAGGTTGCCTGGCACCAAGGAAGAACGCAGGAAATTTTGTCCAACGACTGTTCGGATGAAAAGGGCTTTCACAGGCAAGTCCTGAAGTGGAGGCCTGAGTCCGTGTCAAAGCTCCTCAGCCAGTTCTGAGGTTTGGGAGTTGCTTTAGGCAACCATAAATGGGCCAGAAACCAGAGCTTTGGACACCAACTGCTGCTCCCAGACATTTGATGACTGCCTGTATCACCACAGCGTATTCTCATTTCCTCCGAAGAAGCATTTAAAATAAATTCCCAGAGAAATCACAGACAATGGTCACTTGAGTCTCTTTACAATCGAGCTGCTCATTTGCGGCAATGAACAGCCTGGCCAGGGACAGATGATCAGGGCAGTCTGACCCAGAGGACAAGTTAGCAAGGGTGCTTCCTTTTACGGCCACCCTTTAAAACCTTCTTCTGTTTTTTTTTAAATTTTTTATTTCTTAAATTTCCTTTCCTCCTATTTTTAAAAGTTAAATTTATTAAGGTGGCAAAAGATTATATAATTTCAAGTGTACAATTCTGATACATATTGCATTGTGTGCTGAACACTGAACATCTAATCTTATCAAAATGTGCCCAAGGATGACAACCACCAAATGATAATAGTGGGGTTTGTTTGGATTTTTTGTGATCACAGAGAAGATGGCAAAAAGCAAAATGTAAATGGCTTCACATTATTTTAAAGATTGCTTGGAATAAGATACTGTACCTGATATATTGCATAGGCTGACCCATTTAATTTCTTAAACAGCCTATGCGGTAGGTTATCGAGGTTGTGCCTGATGTCTACACCTAATGAACACTTAAAACATGTTGGCTGGATAAATGAATGAGGTGTACTGTAAATTGATCGATCCAGATTTCTACTAAAAACCAAACAAACCTCAAAACCAAAGCTTACCAGGAGCTGCAGTCTCACAAAGTGGGAGGAAAATAAAAAGATAGAGAAGAACAGATTTCTGGGTGTGCAACCAGGCTAGTCAATGCTTTGTAACCAATGTGATAGACTCCCAGCATACTGTGTCTTCTGGTTCCTTCCTATTCGTGGTTTCTCACCAGCAAAAGCCTTCCTCATGAGGCACTAGCTGCACTTCTCAGTTTCTCTGTGCAAACCAGAGCCCCATCGGATAGTTTTGGCTAGTATATAGACAAGACAATAGCCCTTTGTAAGTCAGAGCTGGGCATGGGGCTACTCAGTGTGCAGCCACAGCAGTATGGCTCCAGGAGCATGGGAAAGGAATTCACCCTTGTTAGGTCCTCTCATTCTGAAAGTGAGTCAAGTGTTTTCAACTAGAGACAGGGTAGGGGGAAGGCATCCCTTAGTGGGGTGTATATAAACTGAGTCCAACATACAAATGCAAATGGCCTTTTACTTGCTCAGGTGTTGTATCCTTCCTTAGACCCAGACACATAGCTTCTTACATTAATCTTTCTCTCCTTGTCAAGGAATCAAGACACTCAGTCTAATTTTCTCTCCTTTCAGACACTGCCGCCATGTACTTTACCCCTGAGGAACTTTCTCCCCTTGTCTGGGCTGCAGAGACTAAAGGTAGACTGCCTCTCTAGATTCCCTCGCCAACCCCACCGCTAACCCAGGCTCATTATTGCTGCTCTCAAGGACAAGCCTTTAGGTGAAGAATGTCCAGCAAGTGTCCTTACCTTCTTCAGCACCCACTGTCAGCGACGGCAAGGAGCACTGTGTAAGAAGCGTTCCAAGGACAGGTTCGGTGAAAACACCATTGCAGTCCATTTGGAGTTTCTGCCATTCACTTGGAAGATGACTGACAACACACAGAAAAGACATTATTAAATCACTTAGTACCAACTCATTATAATTTGTGTTTTATCACTGATCACTAATGGAAAACCAGTTGGAGAAGAGTTTTCAGAAGTTAAAAACACTGGGAAATTACAACATTTATAAAGTTCTTAATGCTGTGTTCCCTGGCCTATTATTCTTACTTCCTTTAAGGCACAGGTGGCAAATACAAGGCCCGTGGGCTGAATCCAGCCTTCCATGTTTTTTTATCCAGCCCAGCGCCTTGTTTCTACCCGGCAGCAGTGCTGAGCTGTTGTTTAACTGTTAAGGAGTAGTTACATTTATACAGTCCTAAAATTACATTCGGCTCTTTGAAGGCAACCACAAGGCTGATGTGGTCCCCAGTGAAAATGAGTTTGACACCCCTGCTTTAAGGTAATGAATGGGAATTCCAGTGGGTCTATACTATTGTATTTTGGGGGAGACTTATGGGAAGCCCTTCTACACCAGAAAGTGGGCTCAGGCGGATTAATACACAGCAGTGGTCCCTGGAGCATCCCCCGTGGGGCAGTGGTTTGCTTGATGGAACGGCCCTCTGAGAACAGGAGCAGCAGTGTCCCAGTGGACTGCTGGCTGCCTCTCCCTCGTGAGACAATCCCACCTTTTTCACTGAAGAAATCATGGTTAATCCCAGTGTGGGAAGAGAACAAAAAACTGGGGACAGACGAAGATGTGTTTTCTCCATTTCCAAACTTTTCATAAGAAGCCATTTTCTTTACCTGTCTTCCTGATATTTCCCAATCTATCCTATCATTCCTTCTTTTCTCATGTGGAGTGACATACCTGCTTGAAAAAAATGCAGGAAGAATAACCAGACATTTTGGGCTCAGGAATGAAAGAGCCTTTTTTTTTTTTAATTTTGCAGTCCACAGAAAGCACATTCAAATGCTCCCCCAGCCCCCATGGGTCCCCACTCAGGAAACACTGTCCCCATCTATAAGTCCGGTAAGACATGCGAGTGCGTTTGCCCAGTTACAGCATTCCATATACCGTATCAGCAAGTCGTCTGGGCCTTTATGTTCAAAACTGGATCACTGCAGTGGCCTTGATCAATAATAAAGGTGCTTTTTAAAACCCCATCTGCCATTCACTTTATGTATTTATCAATGTATTCAGAACATAGATAACAGAGACAGGTGCTGTTTGTTTGGGGTTCTTTAGGCACCAATATATAAAATAAGCTGAAAGTACTGTACTTACTTTTTAGGGTTGCCATAACAAAATACCACAGGTTGGGTGGTTTGAGGAAGAGAAATTAATTTATCAGAGTTCTAGAGGCTAAAAGTCCAAGATGGAGATGTCAGGTTTGGTTTCTCCTGAGGCCTTTCTCCTTGACTTGTACATGGCTGTCTTCTGTGCTCATGCATCCAGGATGTCTCTTCCTCTTTTTCATGAGGACACCCCAGTCATTTTGGATTAGTGCCCCATTCTTCCAGCCTTGCTTAACCTTATTTTATTAAAGGCCCCTTCTCCAAATGCAATCGCTTATGCAGTCAGGGCTTCCGCATATGAATTTGGAGATAACACAGTTCATTCCATAACAAAGACCTATAAAAAAGCAGAGTTCCAAATAGATTTTTAAAAACCTAAAATCAGCTCTGAGTCGTTGACAGAAAACACACTTAAATGGTAAGAGGAAAAGGTGGAAAATAAAAAGCATGAATAGTTGTTGCTTTTATAGTTATATAGTAACATATAATAATTGAATATAGTAATGTAGTATAAAACAGAAGTAACTGGAATATGGCTTTGTGATAAAAAGAAATAAACTACCAAGAAGATAAAATAATCATGAATTCATATATGACAAGTCTCAAAATATGCATGGCTAAGTTTCAAATATCAATAGACCAATATGACTATTAATTGATCATACTAGATTTTGACTCCCTTATCTCAGAAACTGATATTTAAAATAGTACAAATATTGATAAGAAGGATAGAAAAATTACCACAATTAAAACATACCGACTTCTGGCCAAGATGGAGGCATAGGTAAACACACTGTGCCTCCTCGTATAACCAAAAAAAAGAACAAAAACAAATTAAAAACAGTAAACAAGAAGAAATGCCAGAAAATCGCCCTGGCTGGTGTAGCTCAGTGGATTGAACGCGGGCTGCGAACCAAAGTGTTGCAGGTTCGATTCCCAGTCAGGGCACATGCCCGGGTTGCAGGCCACGGCCCCCAGCAACCACACATTGATATCTCTCTCTCTCTCTCCCTTCCTTCCCTCTCTAAAAACAAATAAATAAAATCTTTAAAAAAAAATGAAGAAGAAGAACTGCCAGGATATTGAACTGTATGGACATCCAACAACTAAGGAGTGAAAGGAGAAACACTCATCCAGACCAGTAGGAGGGGCAGAGACAGGCAGCAGGGGTGGAGAGGACTCACAGGAAGGCCAGGCAGCTGGAAGATTGGTCAGGCCAGGCAGCTACTGGTGGAGCAGGTGATCCCACATTTGTATGGAGATAAACTGGGAGAAACAACTGGGGAGCGAGACAGACCATGCAACCCAGGGTTCCAGTGCAGGGAAATAAAGCCTCAAAACCTCTGACTGAAAAAACTGTGGGGGTTGAGGCAGCGGGAGAAACTCTCACCCTCACAGGAAAGTTTGTTAGAGAGACCCACAGGGTCCTAAAACATACACAAATGACTCACCCGGGATCAGCGCCAGAAGGGCCCATTTTGCTTGTGGGCTCTGGCAGAAGTGACTGAAAGCCAGCCAAGAACCGAGCAAGTGGCACTATTCCCCCACATACAGCTCTGTGGACTGCCCTACCCTGTGAATAACTAAGGTTCCACCTCTTACTATGTAACAAGCATGCTGACACACACACACACACACACAGGCCTAAATGAAAGAATAGATCAAAGTTCCAGAAAATAATACAATTAAATGAGGAAGAGATAGCTAACTTATCAGATGCACTTCAAAACACTGGTAACTAGGAAGCTCACAGACATGGCTGAATATTTCAGCAAAATAGAGAGAAAGTGAAGGCTATGAAAAGTGAAATAAAGGAACAAGTATAAAGGACACATGGATAAAAAACTAGGGGCAGGTGGAAATGGGAGGGAGGAGGGTAGGGTTGGGTGAGTGGGCTGGGATGGGAGTAAAAGATAGAAAATTGTACTGCAACAATTAAAATAAAATTTTAAAAGAAGTGAAATAAAGGAAAATATACAGCAAGTCAACAGTGACAGAAGGGAAACTGAGACTCAAATCTATGGTTT